GAGAGAGAGAGAGAGAGAGAGAGAGACTCCCCGGTTCCCTCCCTCCCTCGCACACAGCGACTAGAGACGGACCGAGAGCAACGCGCAGGGAGAGGAGAGAGCACCGAGAAGAGCCCCGCGCTCTCACACATACACTCACACTCTGCTCTCTTTCCTCTCCCCCCCCCCCCCCCCCTTCCCCCCCCGCCACTAACACCATCTCCTCCTCCTTCTCTCTGCAACAAGAAAAAAAAAAAGCCATTTACAGGTATTTTTTTTTTGGCGGATCCGCATATTTATTTATTTTTTCCCCCTAACAGTTTGTTTACAAGTATTAAAGTTGTAATTGGGAGCTGCCAAGACACATCTGGATTTGTGTTTCTTTGTGTTAGGGGGTGATGTGCAACTAATTAAAGGCAGACTGGCAGCGTCTGCAAATCCTAAGGCTCCCCAAATAAAAAGAGACTGGTAAGTGATTGTTCTTTCTTTTTCTCTGGCTTTTTTTTTTTAAATGTTTGCTGTCCGCTGGGATTGTAAAAGTGGATTAATAATGCTGGACTCCAGCAATAAAAAGCGCCGCTGTATTAATTTATTAATTAATCTGCACCCGCCCCTCCTCCTGAATGTTAAATATGACCTTTGATCTCTATGTCTCTGGTAGACCAGACATGCAATATTGAGCATGTACAGTTACATTGTTTAAAACTAAAACAGGATCATGAAGTGTGGATGTCTAATTTGGGCTTTATGTTAGGCAGTAGTTATTTATGTGTTTTGTTTTTTAAAAGAAAAGAAAACAATAGCTGTAGCTTAGACACCTTTTTTTTTCCCCATGCTCTAGAGATGCATTGATTAAACAATAATGACCTGGATGGTAGGCACCATCATTTTCTACAATTTCTGATGGCATTAGACCTTAAGAGAGAAAGAGTTGGGAGGGGGGAGGTCTGAAGGGGCAGATGAGGAAAGCTTGTGTTTGGAAACACCACTTTTTTTCCTTGGAAATAGGACATAAAATGATTTCCTTATTGGATCAAGATTAAAGGACTGAAATATTGACACATTCTTCTTCCCCTTTCCCCAATATGTAGCTTTCCAGTGCATGGTTGGTATAACTAGTTTTGTTGGATAGCCGTTATTATGGACATAGAGTTACAATTTTATTTGCAGAAAGGGAATCTCTATGCATATTCTTGGTATGTTCCTTCCTTCCCCTCCTCCCCAGAACGTTTAGCCTGGAGCTTTTGGGGGGCACCCTTTGTATTGACAGCAGACCTCTAAAGAGAGCAGTTTTCCCTGATGCTAAAATACAGAGGTGGTTCCTGGATGTTTAGGGACTCTAAGTGATTGAAAGATGCACGCTACTTCCTAATCCAGCCCTGGGTGAGATGCCTTATCTTGATTTACTCTACCCTAATGGGGATTTGTTTACACAAACCTTGCTTTTTAGTATACATCATCTGTAGAACTTGAAGTTTTTTCACTGGTAGGTTAGACATAAATGGTTCATTAATCTAATTATAAACATAATTACAATAATTGATAACCGTTTTGAACTGTGAATATTCAAAGCTGACACTGTACTCTGCCCCATTTACTAATACCAGAACTAAACACTTCTGGCCAATGTCTAGGCTTCAGGAGATGCTATAAACAGATTTTCTGGTAAAGAATCTGGAAAAATCTGGAAACAAAGGACTATATTTTTGTTTAATATGTACTTTGTGTTTTTGTTTTACTTCTTAAAACCCTGTGAAGTACCTCTTTCCCTCTGTAGTAAACAACTAAAATACCCCTTCTCAAAGCATAATAATGGCCTATAAGGGCATCAAGTAGAGACAAAAACACTCAGTTAACATTAACTTTCCTTTAAAAAAAGAAAAAAAAATAGAAAATTATTTTTAATGGTTTGATCTTCAGGTAATCAGTACCTGAAATATTCCCCTCCCCTTTTAATCTGTATATAAAGTCCTTCAATGTCTACAGGAGTTGCATTAGGGAAAAAAAAATAAAGTCCCATGCAGTCCCCTTGTCTTTGGAAAGGGACAGAAATCCCTATTGGGAATGACTAGGAATATAAGTCCTTACAGCAGCTGCAGGCTCTTGGATCAAAACCTATGAAATTGCATGGTTTACTATTATTATTTTTAATCTGGTCTCCTTTTCTTTCTTTTTTTTTTTCTTTTAAAGAAGTAGACCACCACCCCTCTTAACCCCCCCTCCACCCAACCTCACCACCAAATGGCTTGTCCAATTGAGACCTGTCCTTGGTCCATTGAATTAAGACCCTAACAGAGCCAGCTGTGCTGGGATTCAAACTAATGACCGTCAGACACAGAAGGACACTGTGGCAGCTGGTAGTTCCCTTTTTTCTGGCCTCTTTAGTTCAGATTGTAGCTTAGCTCTCAGTTGTATTGTGTTTGCTTACAGTTTATACGCTAGAGCATTGTAGACTTTCTCCGTACCTCATTTGTTAATTTCCTGTTGTTTTCTTCTTAAGGCCATGGATGTTTTTTTCTAGTTTTATAGCATTTGCATGCCCATGCAACACTTGTTCACACATTTCATAATGTTTAAATGCCCTCTGCTTATAGGTAGTATCACCCTTTCCGCCCCTCATTTGCATGTCTTTAGTACTCGGAGTGTCCTCTTCCCTTGGCATTTGTAACCTCCTTCCTCCTTTTTCTATCCCTAGGCATCCCTGACTATTAATTCATTTACTCGGGAGTGTTACAAGGATGGGGGGGGGTGGAGCTTCGGTGTGGTGGTGGCTAAGGTTGGGGTGGGGTGGGCTGGGGTGGGGTGAGGTGACCTGGGAGGGAGGGCGAGTGGGGGAGAGAATGGGAGGTGTGGAGGTGTGTGTATGTCGCGGGGTGGGGGGGGGATGTCCATGTCTTTATGATTGTCATGCGAACGACTTGGCAGGTGAATGTATGAGCGCGTCTATGTATGTGGTGGTTTATTTATTTTTAATCTTTTCCTCGTGCATCTCGTTGGAATGACTTTCTTTATTTTAGTTGTAACAGTTGGAGGATAATGCAAAGGAAGACGCTGCCTGGAAATTCGCCGTCTGTGGATATGTGCCCCAGAGAGGAATAAAGCAACCGTTCACGATCTGTCTTCCCCCCCTCACCCCTCCAACCTCGACCCATCTTTCCCTCCTAACCAGGCCCCCACCCCAACACCAACCATCACCCCCTTCCCTCCTCCCCACCTCCCCCCCTTTCCCGCCCAGGTGTCGGACCAGGCGCCCCCCTCTTCCACCCTGCACCCCTTCTTTCCCCCCTGCACCATGAACACCAATGTCTGCGTGGAGCCGGGGCCGAGCCCGGAGGCCCCGGGCTTGCCCAAGGAGAGCCACCTGCCCGAGGGCGCCCTCAACAGCCTTGTGGATTACAACTCAGAGATGGAGCGCTACCGCTCCTTTGCCACCTCCTTCTACAAGACCAACGGGGGCGCCTTCCCGCAGGCGGCCAAGATCGCGCGCATCACCACGCCGATCTTCCCCAGCAGCGCCGCCGCCGCCGCCGCCGCCGCCCGCATCGGCATGTCCCCCTGGAACTGCGACAACGCGGCCACCGCCGCCGCCGCCACCGCCATGCTCTGGGGCAGCGGCGGCGGCGGCGGGGGCGCAGCCGGGGGCGCAGCCGGGGGCGGCGGAGGAGCAGGAGCAGGAGGAGGAGGAGGAGGCGGAGGAGGAGGAGGAGGAGGAGGGGGCGGAGGAGGAGGAGGAGGAGGGGGCGGCGGCGGCGGCGGCGGAGGGGGGGGCGGCAGGAAATCCTCCTCCTCCTCCGCCTCCTCCTCCTCCTCCTCCTCCTCCATCCACCCGGGCAGCGGCGGCAGCAGCAGGACCAGCATGCACCATCGAAACGACTCCCAGAGGCTGGGCAAAGCTGGCTGCCCGCCAGAGCCGTCGTTGCAAATGGCAAATACTAATTTCCTCTCCACCTTATCCCCCGAACACTGCAGACCTTTGGCGGGGGAATGCATGAACAAGCTCAAATGCGGCGCTGCTGAAGCAGAGATAATGAATCTCCCTGAACGCGTGGGGACTTTTTCCGCTATCCCGGCTTTAGGGGGCATCTCATTACCTCCAGGGGTCATCGTCATGACAGCCCTTCACTCCCCCGCAGCAGCCTCAGCAGCCGTCACAGACAGTGCGTTTCAAATTGCCAATCTGGCAGACTGCCCGCAGAATCACTCCTCCTCCTCCTCCTCCTCCTCTGGAGGAGCTGGCGGAACCAACCCGGCCAAGAAGAAGAGGAAAAGGTGTGGGGTCTGCGTGCCCTGCAAGAGGCTCATCAACTGTGGAGTCTGCAGCAGTTGCAGGAATCGCAAAACGGGACACCAGATCTGCAAATTTAGGAAATGTGAAGAGCTAAAGAAAAAACCTGGCACTTCACTAGAGGTCAGAGGAGATGATTTCTTGTTTCCCAGCCTCCCCCCGTCCCTTCTCACCCCCCTCCCCTCACCCCTTCAGGGCTTCTTGTCTAACTTCAAGATGCATTATCCCTTTTCTGAAGCTTCATTCAGGTTGTAAAATACTATAGGTGAATGGAGGAGGGCACAGTCTCCCCCCCTTTACCCCGACTTGCATCTCGGATGGAACCACCCTCTACAGGGGGAGGCCCCCCCTTCTTTTTTGTCTCTGGGGGGGAAATGTAATTGGTCTAAAAGTCAGAAGTTTCACATTCATTACGGTCACAATTTTACCCTGGTGGTTTAAAGCCCCTCCCCCCATCGTGTTGGTCTTTCTTCCCAACCCCAAATCTCTGCACATGGTTGAACTCATCATATCCTATACATTTATATGTAGGCTCAGAATGACACATTGGTGACCTATTTTCACCATTTCTGTATGGTAACACAAGCATTTTCATGCACATAGGTATGTGTTGATGTGAAAAATAACGTAACAAGAAATGAATGTTTGAACCAGAAATACCTGGATGCACATGAAGATTCTCCCTGAAGTGTGTGTATATATATATATATATATATATATATACACATTTATGTATACATATATACAAATATACACACAACCATTTATACTTATTTTCCCTAGCATGTCCTAAATATTCCTCTGATTTATATGCTATTTTCAAATATACACATATAGCTGGTGTTTTCTTAAGAAACAGACAAAAATACAGAGATAGCTGAACACCTGCATTTTTAATGGGAAGAAGCTCAGAGTAAAGTAATACATGAGTTAATTTTAGGGTAGCTGGAGGTAATTTTGTTCAGAAAGAATGCCTGGGTATAGTTTCCGAAATGAATGGTTGGTAAAATATACTAAGAAAAATGTTTCCTTTGGGCACTGCTTCTGTGCCACTGCTTACGGTGCATTAAAATTCTACTAAATAGCTAGGCACAGGTTTGATTAATACATATTTGATCTGTAATACAATGTCTTCTACCTATATGTGCTCCAAATGGATGATGTATGGAATATCACAGAGCTGTAAAGTGAGATTTTCAAATTTGTTAAACATAAAAGAAGAGATGTTTGGAAGAATTTCAGGTGACATACTGAACAAAACAAACTGGGGGGGGGGCACAAAACCATAAGTAAAATGGTGGTATTTTTAGCAAAGGAAGACAAGCAAGTAATCATTTAATCATGTTATTGAAATTACAGTGCTTCTGGTTAGATATGCATCTACACAATGCTTATAAAGCTGGAGGTGCTTGCTTTGTCATTGACTGAACCCTAAAGTAGGTGAGAGATGTGCAATTGCCAATTGTCATCAGTGATCAATTATTATATTCCTTTTTAAATGATCACTGCTTTGGAGGAGTTTTCTCCAGGAAGTGTTGTAGGTGGGATTAAAAAAATAAAACAAAAAAAGAAAAACATCTTTGTAGTTTGTGAAATACCAGCAGTAAGATAAACAAATGAAAAAAAAATTAGTTTGGAATCTTGAACTGAAGAACATTTGTTTTCTAAAATTCCATGTTTTATTGACATTATAACTTATGATCAGATGCATCAAACAATTTCCCCTCCCCCATGAGAGTGTATGTCCCAGGAAGTTTTCATTTTTAGCTCACTAGATTCCATTTCCTTTAGATCTCAGGTGGTAAAATAGTATTTTGTCCATTGTCTTGACTTTTGTTTTTAGCCAATTATCATGAGTTCACTTTTACTAAGAGTTTCAAAGAACTATAGGCAATTAAAACTGCTAACACTGAAATTTCCTGTTGATCACAATTAATAATGAGCACATGGCACATGACTCCCTCCTCTGCCCCCTTTCTGTGGTGTTAGCCACTAGCATTCCAGTCTTTGGGTGATGCCAGCCTGGAAAATGAGTTAGACAGAAGCTATAACACACTGTTGCAAGACAGGGTACATAGTAGATGGGGAGACAGTGATGGCTCTCTGGTTTATTTCATAAGCATGGTATTCTGGGGGAGCCTGACTTACATATTACCAGGGCTTTATCATCACCTTGTTTCTGGACAGATATCTACTTCTAAGAACATTTTTTTAAAAATTTTCTTGAGTCTGACTAAGATGTTCCATTAGCATTCAAAATTGTTGAGGCATGTTATACCTGATGTTAAAATTATTTAATCATTGTGACCAGTAAAAACCATAGTTTTGTTAGCCATGTGCATTTTTATAACCACTTGCTTCCTTCTCTTCTCCTTAACCATGGTTTGAAGATAGATTTTCTAGCTTCTAGAGGTTCCCTTGACTGCAAGTCATGTCTCTTTGGAGAATGTCCTATGGACCACAGATCATATCTTTAAAAGAATGTTATTTGGTAGAAGGAGAGGAAGAGTTTCCTAAATTGGCTTGGTTACTATTTAGTCAGTTTTTTAAAAGGGAAAAAAAAACCCTAAGGAATGACAACATGATTGCCTAAAGCATATGTGTAGCAACACTGTTATGGTTGTAAGGAAACCAACTGGAAACATGTCAGAGTGATAGGGTTTACATGACTAAACCAAAGCAACAAGAATGGGGCAGGTGGATGCAAAGTCACCCTGCTGAACTATGTGGCCTTTCAAGTTTGTTTCAGGGTCCCCATAATTCATCATCTTCTTAGGTGGTGCCTTATAGATTGGTTAGACATTTTACTAAGAGTAGAGATGTCAAATTCCATCATGGACTTTTTGTGAGACTTCCTGGTCTAAGCTTAGCATCAGATGCAATGATTGGCTTCAAATTGAGAGTGCAGATCAAACTTGGTAGAGGCCAAGCAGGTTGGGCTATCTTATTAGATGAATCTCTAGCTCTTCATTCCTTCAATTACTTTTTTCTTGTTCACTTATTCTTGTCTTGGTGTATTAAAGAAATAATCAGATTCCAAGGTTAGTAAGTGGAACTTAAGACCGATTCACATTAATGTTTTCAGATTCCTGCCCTTACATTTTTAATGAAATGCTTCCCTTCCAGTATTCCTTTTAACATTGCTTTCATCTTTTCCATTATTTTCCTTATTAGGTTCACCTTAAAAGCATACCAATATCCTATAAATTCTTTTAATAAAATTAATTATGATTTTCTATATATAATGTATATAAAATAATAAAATAGTTTCCTATGCAACTATTCACTGCATATTTGCATACATACTTTTTTTTATTTATCTAATGATTAGTTTACCAAATGTAGACTTTATTTATTCAAAGTAATTAGGGACAATTCTGTATTCCCCTCCTATTAGGTAACATTTTTCTAAAACTTGTAACCTAGTTGATCAGTTTTAAGATCCTGGGTACTTTACAATTATTATTAATTTATCTAGAGGAACTTATTTTAATTGGTTTATCATAATTTTTTTAAACTACTTTATGAAGATAGAGTTTTTATGTTCAGCCATCACACTTCTAATACTCATGTTACTATTTAGACATGATCTCAACTTATATGGCCCAAAGAATAACGCTATCCCATGGGCAACCCCAACCCCTAAGTCCCTAAACATTGTTCAGGTGACATGATTAATCTCTGTGGGATAGCATTAGAGACCACACAGATCTGGTTTCTCTCTCATTAGTTGATTTATGGAACTACATTAGTAAGTAGCTCCTCTAGAGGTTTTTGTGCCCCCTTCCTCCCCTTTGCTTTCCTTGTTGAAAGTTACATACCACAATGTCATTAAATTGTAGGGAGAACTAGAATATTGAAAGGGGATAGAAAGGCTAGTTGTAATGAACTGGTTGGAAAGAAATGGAAAAAAATCAGGTAAAAGGACATTCTTATTCAGTTTTCTGAGCTCTCTATCAAATATGGAGACTATGCTATCTTTTCAAGAAAGAACCAGCATCTCAGGGACTCAGGCCCTGTCAATTATAGTCATAAACATATTTCTGACTTTTGCAGGGTTTTGTTTGTTTACTTTGATTGTTGCTGGGTTCAGTAAATATTTTATTAAGTCCTAAAAACAGCAGCAAATAGGCAACAAAATTTGTTAAAGACCTACTAGGCTCCTAGGTCTGGGCCAAGTCTCTCTTTGTAGTTTCAAGCCAAAGTTATAGATTATATTGATGAAAACCACAAACTTGTCAAGATATGGTCACAGAAATGTAACATCTCTGTAATTAAATAATCTTTTCACATGTTTGGGTTTTTTTTTCACTTTTAAGCTTTTTTACATTAACTAGAAATATTTCACGTTTTAATCTGAACCATGATACAGGTCAGTATTTTGGTGTTTCATGTCCTAAAGTCTTCATTTGAGAATGTGTTTCTAAATTGGAGGTTAAAGGAGAGGTGTGTCATACTGCAATCAAATATTTAGGTTTAATTAAAAAATTTAAAAATTTTGAACAAAATATATTTAGTTAATTCTAAAAGCAACCACCAATAGGCAGGTTCCCACAAGATTCAAACCCGTTACAGGGTGTCTCAAACATCTTAGTGCAGCTATTAAGGTTTAAAATTCATTAATATTTTTGGAATAGCTTGTAAAATATTACATGATTTTTAAAAAAGAAACTAAGTATTTTGAATACTTCCTAAATTAGGAATATACACAAATTCATCCCATTTTAAATGTTAGGGAAACTTTAAAAAAAGTCAGTCAGGAATGGTAAAATATAAACAATCAACCATTTGCAAATTATGCTAAAAATAATGCTAACATATCAAGCAATTTAACAAAAGTAACACGTGGAATTGATCAGATTAAAATTATTTGTTGCTTTAGATTAAGAAAGGAGGCTTCATGGTAGGATAGCAGCAGTTTACATTTCAACTATTTTAAAGAAGCAGTAAGTAGAATATTGAAGTTTTGCTACTCTTCTCCCCCTCCTCCCAGTTTTTGTCTTTCATGTTCCTGAATGAATGAATTACAAACATAATTAAGAACATTGTGATGGACAGGCACAGAGATTAGCAAAGTGTGACTAGTTTGTAAATTATCTGCTTTAAATATTTCATTGAATATTTAAATTAACTGTAAAACCACAGAAAAGTGTGTATAAAGGATAACTGTTTCAGTCATAGGAAAACTCTACCCTGATTTTTAAAAAAATTCTAGTTCTTATTATATTGAGAATGTTTTTTCTATAGTTTTTTTTTGGGGGGGGAGGGCAGGAAGGGTTAGTTACATACTGAATATAATAGCTTTCTTTTTTAAATGATATGTAGCCAATTTGAGGGTGGGGTGGGGTGGTGATGGAGCCTTCTGAGTGGTCACCTTAAATGATCCAGATTGGCAATGTATAGTACTCAAATACACCAAAAAAGTATTAACCATATTGACTACATGTTGCCCTTTTGGAGGAAGCCTGTGAGAATTTGTATTATTGAGTGGGTAGGAATTCAACTTAATTTATTGAATTGCTTGGAGAAAATAAATATTTGTGCATTTGTGATCTTTATAATCAGTCTGATTTGGAGACATTGAGATATGAGTATAAAGATACCCACTGGAAAAATTCATACTATTCTTTTAAGTTTAGTTTTCCCACTCCACTGTTACCCATGTTTCATAGTTTTC